CCGCGCTATATAGATTGGAATAACTGGATTCAATATATTCGCCGTGCCCACCGCGCCATATAAAAACCGTGTGCGTGACCACGGTGGCCTAAATTATAGCCGTCACAGCCGTAGTTATGGAGGCTTACAAGGTTCTCCAACGTTTTCAGCTGACAGTAATTAATCCGCATTGTTGAATCTAGTTAAAATGAAGGAACAAGAAGGATAAAAGAATACTAACTGTCGCTCAACGCTAGCAGTGTCCTCAAGCTGTCAACTCGGCCATTATGGGCGGCAAGCATGAGAGGAGTGCGACCATGCCGATCCATTCTTGATAAACTCCATGGATTTTCTCGTATTAAATCGGTCACAAGTTCAAGGTTTTCGAATAAAACTGCCTGTAAATGATATCGCTATGACAAAAGCTTGGATCCAACATTAGCCAGCGAAAAAAAGAATTCAGAAGACAACCACAGCAGAACGTTGTCTAGCAACCCAAATTGCTTAACGCTATATGATACAAACAAAATTGAAATCTTCGTACATCATTTGTGGAGCTTACCCTCAAACAAAGGCTCCCGAGTAATGAAGGAAACGAGACGGCACAGAGGACTATGTGAATATGCCATGCGGTCTCGAGGAATATAAGTAAAAAAGTGAAACAAAGGCATGAAAACTTCCGGAATGAAACTTTAACGGAACTCAACGGTGCTTTAATACGCATATCGCAATTATTCGATAGGTTGAATCTGTTCCTCGTGCAAGTTGTCCAACCCATGATATCGGAGGTTGCCCCACTTTCGCGGCATTGCAGTAACGCTGCGGTCGTCAACGAACGTTTGCAGTTCGTAAAAGCAGTATCAATCAAATGTCGAGGAGTGTTTGACGAGGGAACTACAGCGTATAAAAAAAGCATTTGCGCACAATACAGCGTATTTTTGCAAAGCGAATGCTTCTGCAACCCAAGTGAGTAGACCGTGAAAAAGTATATAACATATGCAGCGCTGAAATGAGCTGTCCAAAAGTGTCATCCTCAATGCTAGCGTAGACATGCGCCAGCGACATGACAAAACCAGCTAAATGCCGAGTCCTTTTCACCGTCACAGATTGACTCAAACTTTTAAAAATTTCGTCCAGCGTGGTCCAAACGTCACTGATTTTATCTTATAAGAAAGAGGTCGAGCATGTAGATGCTTGATATGTTTGAGGAGGGTCACTGATGCCTAAGGCTGTGTTCATACTATGACACTCGGCGTTTTGAGCGAGTCTGCATTTAATGGGCCGATCGTCCTCACCGTCCTCTTCCAAAGCGGAAAATCATGACTCAGCAGTTTCTTCAAAAGATTACATTCTTCTGGAGTGGTTAGGTTAAGAAAAATTCGTAAAAGGTGAACACCATTCCATTTGGTGGCGTTGATGCAGCCATTTTGTTTCTAAAGATACAGGCAAGGAATTGAACTAATGTTGACCATTACCGGAAGGGCAGTTTTCGCGAAAACTCTGAAGCGATGTTATACTTTGCGTCAGCGTTTGAGCCGTATGGCAGCGTTTCGAGCGTGCGGCAGCGTTTAGGGTTTCTCGGGTTGGGCGCTCAGAGCGTTGGCACACGCTCCAAACGTTGACGCGCAAAGTATGAACATAACTTGACACCTCCAGCCTCGAGTGATAAAGTATATTTTTCAAAAAAGCGTACTATAAAAAGTGATAAATACTCGTTACCTGTCGTATTAGCTGCATGGTATCGGACTCGTCCACATTGAGGGGAGCATCATCGCTCCCCGACATCTGAAATGACCGTTTCTTCAGGGTACTGTCCTCACCACTACACCTGAACTCAGAACGATAATGGATTTTATCACAAAACAGCTTCAAAAGATAATGGATGTCATTGAAATCAGGAGAGATGCATTTATAATTCGGGCATTTACTCGAGACATCGCTCAGAATCAAAACAAAATGCGCTGGTTGAATCCGTATGGTGAATGAATAACAAAAACTACAATACATCAGAAAGAGTAATTTATAGTGCTGATGAGAAGGTTAGAGGGTTCTCAGAGGCTGTGGCCACAACTTCAAGTCCAAGACTAATACTCAGCGAAAAAAGACTCATATAGAGTGAAAACGATCGGAAAATATTCACTTTTATCAGTGTGAAACAATTTTCCATTCCATCACAGCAGACCTCGGGAGTCCGAAAATTCGGCAGTGTTCAGCTTGAGAAGAGCATTTTACTTTTTCGCAAGTTCCTGTTGAATTCCACGTTACACTTCGATGAGGCCTATAGATTCATGACAAGTGTAGGCGAAGCTTCCGCTATTGCATAGCTGTGCAGGAATCTACATGTCCCCTTAGCGAGCATCAGCACCAGCGTGAGCCACGGGAACCGGCAGAATGCCCCCATCAAAATGAGCTGCGCCAGAACCCAATTTCGTACAAAAATCTGGTATATGAGTGGGTCACTGAGAATTCCATATCCCGAATCGCTTAATTTTTTGACGGCTTTTGTAGAAAAAGCTCTGAAAAATTCCCTTCTTATCCAGTTTCCTAAGGCACTAAATTTTCGGAAGTGAAGACTAATTATTAGGCAAAAATGAAGCAAAAAAGGGGAACCTAAAGCAACAGACAACAGCGGGCTGCGGATGCTGGGGCGCTTGGAGGAGAGGAAGGTGGGGGACTTAGTTTGGCGCAGCGCTAGCCCGTTTCCCATCAATTTTTGTGCTTTG